CAGGATTAATTCTAGCTCCTTCTTCAGATACTACGGTGACATCTCCTCTCAGATGATCCACCGAGTCCTAAATCAGCTCCAAAACCATCTGTAATAAACAACTGACCAAGCTCCCAAACACTGAATGTTGACAGGAAGTAGAAGCAGAAGTGAACGTTCTTGTGATGAGGCTGAGTCATCAAGATTATATAATGGAAAAATATAGAAAATGTCTGTCTGACATTTGGACAGTAAATATATCTGACATCACATCATCTCCATGTCAGCTGCAGAGATACAGACTGGGAGTCAGTCAGACTGGGAGTCAGTCAGACTGGGACTCAGACTGGGAGTCAGTCAGACTGGGAGTCAGTCAGACTGGGACTCAGACTGGGACTCAGACTGGGACTCAGACTGGGAGCTCCTAGTCTGAGTCATTCATCAAACCCTCGACCACAGGCATGTGCCTGAAAGTTTAATTTGGTGGAAGTCATTTTTCTGAGTGTGGAGACGAGGTTCACTGATCCACAGTCGTCTGCTGCGAACAGTCAGACAACGTTTGTCTAAATGTGATCTATTTTTGTCTGCCCCACAGCGGGGGTCACAGGGGTCAGGGGTCACGAAGGGCAGACAGTCAGGTACAGTGAAGTAGAAATCACCATTTTGTCAAATATAATTTGATTTATTATATTGTGATCCAGTCACGGGCCAGATGAGAAAGTTAAACGGTCCAGATTCGGCCCACGAGCCGCCAGTTGATCACTGACTCACAGTAACTGTTGAACTTTTTGTTACCGCTACTGCGCTTCGGTTGCGATGGTTGTTCGTGAATCACAGGGTTATTGACCGACTGTTGTTGACGAGGTGTCAGAGGTCGTCAGAGGTCGTCAGAGGTTCTGGTGCGTCGTTAAGACGCCGCGTTTACAGGCGTGCGTTCACGGCCTTGTTCTGACGCTGAGTTTGTGTAACACACACACGGCCGCGGCGGTGACAAAGGCAGTGAATTACTTTAGCAATTAAAAAAAAAACAAAGGCGTGTGTGTGTGTGTGTGTCAGTGTGTGTGTTTGCACCTGAATGTATTCTATAAAAGAAAATGTTCCCACCCGAGGCTCGTTAGGTTACACCCTTCTAATGCTACTGTGTGTGTGTTTCTGGTGCTGCTATACTTGTGTGGACATTGTCTGAAAAGACTTTTCTTTGTGATTAGAAATGGCTAAAGATTAGGATTAAGATGAGGCGTAGATGTGAAACAGTCGAGGTCAGATTAAGGGCCATGGACGATGGCCACGTGCGGTGCTCATGAAACACAAAAACCTGTATGTGTGTGTGTGTGTGTGTGTGCAGTGATGCACCGCAGAGTGACAAACATGTTGATGATAAGCAGGAGGACGCTGTGAGAAAACAAAAGGAGAGAAACCACAGCGGCTGTTGCAACACAACCAGAGAGAGTCGGCCGCGTCAGTCGGAGATTTAACGTCGACAGGCGACCGCGTGGAGAGAAAAAAAAAAAAAACTGTCACTGTAGTCAAAGTAGAAAGAGAAGAAAAAAAAAACCTTTGATATGATTGTAAAGTGAGGAGTAAAAAAAATGCTGTGGAATTATGGGATGTCTGCTGAGATAGTGGAGCCTCGAGCTGTCAGTTCTGTCTAACATGGAAAATTATTTTATATCTTTTTTTTTACAACTTTTTCAACAAATCTTTTTTAACTTCATATTTACTATTGTTTATATATATGTATTTGTGCTTGTCTTTTAAATTTATATATATATAGTCGTTGTGGGACTTCTATTATTTTTGTGTTACTTGTTGATGTTTGTTAAACTTGATTTTGTTTATTTTTTTTCGCCGTGTTTCAGCAGCTCTGGTCTAACGTGTTGCTCTGACGCACATTATCTGACATTTAAATTTGGGTTTGGTTTTTTTTTTTACAATATAAATTCTTAAGGTGTAGATATTTTATTGGCTGTGAACCCAGCCTTGTTAGTCATGTGATCACACCCTCCTGTGGGAAACAGTCCAGGTGAAACACACTGAGGTGAAAAAAATGTGTTCAGGTTAGAAAACAAAGCCAGTTGTAAACATTTTATGTTCAACTCTTCACTCCAGGATTCAGAGTTCAGTTCATTTTTTTTTAATCATTTATGTCGATTAAAAAAATGGAGCTGCAGCTGTGGTGCAGAGGTGACGGACGGCGGCCCAGTGGACTGTTGTGTGGGTCGTTGGTTACATTGAAGAGACATTTTCTATTAGAGGAAATGTCGTAAGTAATAGCGGCCACAAGGACGGGGTGTGTCGACCTTCCTCTGAAACAAACAAACCATTTTTAACTTCCTGTCAAAGTCCACCTACAATCAGTGACCCTGAGGAGCATGAAGGCAGTGGAACATGGTCGTACCCTCCGAGTGTGTGTGTGTGTGTGTGTGTGTATTGTTGCCACTCAGACATTACATCTCGTCAGATTTCCTTCTGTTGTTTCAGATATAAAAATAAAAAGCAGAGTGAACGTACAGAACACAACACTTTTTTTTCTTTTTTTTTTTTCAACGCGACACTTTTCTGGTCAGGGTTTGTGTTGTTAATGTCGTGATCTCTGTCTGCAGTCCCTCAGGTCCTGAAGAAGTGTGCAGAGTTCATCGAGAAGCATGGCATCGTGGACGGGATCTACAGACTGTCCGGGGTCACGTCCAACATCCAGCGTCTCAGGTATTTAAAAAAAAAAAAAAAAAAATCCTCCCAAACTTTAAAAATGTTTACGACAAACGACCGCGTGCCCTGTGTTAAGAGTTTGGACCGTGTTGATGAAAAATGTTTACGACAAACGACCGCGTGTTTGTTTTCACACGTGGAGTCGGAGGAAACCTGCAGATCAGATCTGTTTCTGTTTTTTTTATGAACTCACTTCTGATTGGATGACTGCTGCAGAACCCATTTCAGCATTCTGCTTCACGTGTGTGTGTGTGTGTGTGTGTGTGTGTGTGCTGGGAGTGACCAGACCACAAGTCACCAGACCACAAAATTGACTTAGGGGATTTTTTTTTTTGTCCCAGAGGAGAGTCTGTCCTGGATTAAAGCTGCGTTAGCGTCCGTTCTGACTTCACTGTAACGACCAGAATCAGAACGTTAATCCCAGGATTTCCAGATAAATGTATATATGTATATATATGTTTATATGTATGTATATGTACAGTATATGTATATATAGGGGGAATTCTCAAAATGCAAGAATATGTTCATCAAAATGATGAGAAGTTTTAATATCAGAATAAATTTAATCTCAGAATTATTCTGACTTTAATCTCACACTTTTAAGGTGAAGAAATAATCCTGAAGTTCATCTTACAAATATCAGAATAAATATTTATGACGCAGACCTATTAAAAAAAGATAAAAACTTTGACTCCATTTAGTTAAAAAAAAGAATAAAACTGAACAAATAATCCTGAAATTCATTTTACAAATATCAGAATAAATATTTATGACGCAGACCTAAAAATGAGAATAAAAAAAAACAGATAAAAATTTTGACTCCATCAGGGTTTAGTTAATAAAATAAGTCAAACTGAACAAATAAACCTTTGAAAAGAAAAGTCACTGTTTTGAAAATGCAAGAAAGTAAAACAAGAAACAAGATCTAAATGTATATAGTATTTCTATCTATTCATAAAAATAATATATATATATATATTTATAAATATATAAATCATGTAAAAAACTGACTAAAGTTGTGTGTGTGTGTGTGTGGCAGGCAGGAATTCTGCTCCGAGGCGTGCCCTGACCTCACTAAGGAAGTGTACCTCCAGGACATCCACTGTGTGGGCTCCTTGTGTAAGCTCTACTTCAGGGAGCTTCCTAACCCTCTGCTCACGTTCGAGCTCTACAGCAAATTCACGGTGAGTTCATCCACGCCGTCACGCTGTCACGTCAACGGGAGGGAAAAAATGTCCGTGATTGGTTAGGAAGGTTTACGACTTCATTTGTCGCCTCCTCACGGGCCGTGGAAGTGATAAAAGAATAAAAGTGTATAAAGGAATAAAAGAGCCATAAAGTTTAGAGTTTTATTCATGGATTAGACTTTGATTATATTATGGTACGGAAACGATTCAAACTTCACCTCCAAATTAAGAAACAGCGTCGGTCTTCAAGGATAATATTAATATTAATGATTATTGGTAATAGATAGATGAATACTTCAGATATTGGTTATAGATAGATGAATACTTCATTGATCCCAAAGGGAAATGAAGTGAAACCTATTTTAAAAAATATAACTTAAATAGATGTTTATAAACCTCCTCCTGCTGCTGCTGCTGCTGCTGCTCTTCTCCACTGTTACCATCTCATGTCACACAATCAGTGCATTGATGCTGCAGCAGCTCTGACTCCAGACACAGACACCAGGCTGTCAGTTGTTGGAGTCCAGACTAATGTAATAGAAGCCTGAAGGACAGCGTTTGTTTGTCATGTGTTCAGTCATGGAGTGCTGACCATGTGACCTGGTGACCATGTGACCTGGTGACTAGTGAAGCTTCTCCTTGTACCATCACTGGATTCAGTCGTGAATCCAAACCTGAGCTGTTTTTTAATGATCATCAGACGAGGTTCAACCTGAGGGCAGCAGTGTTCCACTGAGAACGGGGTTTTGTTTTTTGTTTTTTTTTTTCCTTGAAACCCAGAGCAACACGAGACGTTAACCTGCCAAAGTACGCAGACGTCCTGTGGAGGTCTGAAGTTGAGCAAACAGAGAAGATGAAGCAGCTCTTACAGTCTGGAGCTGGAATTTCTAACACGTTCTTTTTCCAGTTCTCACAGACAAACTTTCACTTCTTTGGTTGAGCTGCGCTCAAAAATGCAGAAACACACTCTGAAACAATGACGTTAAACATGAAAATTAAAACCAGTATTTTCTAATGTTATCGTCCTTAACCAAATCTAAAACGTCCGTCTGTTTGACCTGCAGGAACTGGTCTCCGTCCAGGGCGACCACGAGAGACTGGTCTACATCCAGAGGGTCATCAGAGAGCTGCCCTCCCCTCACTTCAGGTCTGTTTCCTTCACTTGTTTCAACTCTGGTTTAGGGCCAACGACCCCAAACTGACCCAGACATGGAGCGGGGACCCCTGCTGTACAGTATAGGTCGTGCAACATTGCGTTTTATTTTTTTAACTGAGTCAAATCTGCTGGATCTGCCAAACTTTGTCGGGACGACGTCCACTTGTTCTTGTCAATTCTTAACGTCTCTCCTCCAAACCTCAGGACTCTGGAGTACCTGACCAAACACCTGGCCCACCTGGGCACATTGAGCGCCCAGACCAACATGCACACGCGTAACCTGGCTCTGGTGTGGGCGCCAAATCTGTTGAGGTGAGTCCATGGAATCCAAGGAATGAAAAGGTCGACCAAAAAACATGTAAAATATCTTTGTTTGTTTGACCATAACGTGGCTAGCCTCCACCGAGGATTCTAATTGGTTGACACACCGTCAGTAACAATACATTTCTATTTATTTTTTATCAGGTCCAAAAACATCGAATCTGCCGCCACGAACGGGGACATGGCGTTCCAGGAGGTCCGGATCCAACAGTCGGTGATCGAGTTCATACTGAACCACAGCGACCAGATCTTCAGCTGTGGCTCGGTCCAACTCAAACCCAGAGAAGGTAGGACCGTTAATCATCCCTACGGACGGGAGTCTCCGTCTGACGGCGCCACTGAAGGCCGCGTCTCATTTATAACCTTCTGAAGGGCCGGGTCTGAAATGCGGAGAGAAGTACGCCACGCTGCCCATCAGCGCCCAGTGCAGCCCCATGAAGCTGATGAGCCTGGAGGAAGCCCAGGCCCGCTCCCTGAGTCCCAACCACCCCGTGCACAAGGAACGCCAGCGGGAGAACAGTCTTCCCAACACCAGCACCGCCACGCTGTACCACACCGTCATAGACATCACGGACAGCAAGTAGGAAGGGTTCAGAGTCCGATTCTTTGGGAAGAATCTTGGTTTGAGTCTCATCACGTCCCTCATGTCTTTTAGGAAGAAGTTCTCTGGGAAGTCGAAGAGGTGGAAATCCATCTTCAACCTGGGACGATCGGTGGAGTCAAAGGGCAAACTCAGCCGCAACGGAAGTGTGTTCATAAGAGCGCAGGGAATAACGGGCAAGTCCAAATATTGACAGTTTTTAATTGAATAAATAAATTCTATTAAATACTACAATATAATTAATTATATTTTTAATTTAAAGATGGATATGTCTGAAATTATTTGTCTGTCCAAGTACCACCAGTATGACTTCTGTGTATATATATAGTATATACGTATATGTACAAATATATGTGTACAAATACATATGTACAAATATATGTATACAAATATATTTGTACAAATACATGTGTACAAATATATATGTGCAAATATATATGTGTACAAATATATATGTACAAATATATATGCACAAATATATATGTACAAATATATGTGTACAAATATGTGTGTACAAATATATATGTACAAATATATGTGTACAAATACATATGTACAAATATGTGTACAAATATATATCTACAAATATAAACATATATGTATATATTCTTATGGAACGGTCCATGTCCGGTCCACCACTAGAGGTCAGCACAAGTACCACCGGTGGTACGTGTGTGTTTTCTGTATAAAATGTCAGCATGATATAAGTTAGAGTCACAGTTGAAGTCACTCTGGGTCAAAGGTCAACCACTGCAATAACATAAATATACATACACATATACATATATATATATATATATATATATATGACAGGTTGAAGGTTGGAGATCTCTGTCAGGGTTAATGTGTGACTGAAGAACTAAAGCTTTAAGACTAAAGTGTAAAGTTTACATGGTGTTTTACAGCATTACAATGAGTTTTCTCACTGCCACCTACTGGTGACCTTTGTTTTCAACCAGAAACTATTTGAAATAGAAAAATAAAGAAAATCTAAGAGAATCAGTTCAGTGTCAGGAGGAACAAGTTTTACTGTTTTTTTTTTTAACATATTTTTTACATACTCCACCTGGTAATACTTTTATATTTGTTCAGTATTAGTTTTTCATGAACTCAGACATTGAAATGATAGGTTTTTCTTCTGTGTTTTTTCACAGGAAAAGCAGCTCTGCGTCCGTCCAGGAGTATGGAGTCTTTGTGCTCTCTACCAACAGGTGTGGTCAAATATTTCTGCTTTAATTTGGCAGGACGTCTCTGACTCCAGCTGTTATTGATTTTTTTTTTTTTTTTAACTTCACAGATGAAGACAGAGCTGGAACCAACAGTGCAGCTGGAGGACAAGGCGGGATTTTTCTTCCAGATGTCAAATCCAGAACCCTGGGATCAGATTATGACCTGGACGAACAAGACCAGAACTGGGACTTTAAAGGGAAGAAATCCTCCTCAGGTGGACAAAGCTCTGGTCCCGACCCAAAGTGCTCGCCTGGAGCCTCTGCGTCTCCTCAGAAGACGCTGCCGGAGCAGCTGAAGGTGTTCAAAGGCGACGACCTGAGTGGTTACAAACCCACGTCTCCAAAGAACCGAAGGATGCTGTACTCAGGCTCCGCCCACAGCAGCTCGTCCCGCCCCTCCTTCCCGGGCAGCTTCTTCCCGCTGGAGTCCTCGCCGCGGCACCAGCGACGAGCCGTGAACATCTCGGAGCCCTTCGCCGTCTCCGTGCCTCTGAGGGTGTCGGCGGTGATCAGCTCCAACAGCACCCCCTGCAGGAGCCACGCCAAAGAGAAAGCGGCGACGCTGAAGCCGTGCAGAGAGACCACGTCAGAGCAGAACGTCGGTGACGGAAAGACAAACAGTTTGTCTGAAGTGGAACCGAAGAAGACGGAGGGAGCGGAGAGGAAGAGCACGGAGGAGAGCGGCTCTGCAGCGCCATCAGAAGGTGAACACGGTTTTACATGTTTTTGTTTTTCTCTATAACAATGTTGGTAAAAAAAAATTTAATATTTCACTCTTGCCTGGTTAACATTACATTATTTTGAGCTAACGTTTCACCTTCTTGCTGATATATTTTATGCTAGTACTTTTTGAGCTAAACCTCTACCTATTTATTTTATTTATTTTTAAGCTACCACTTAAAACTTGGCTAACTTTTAAGATGTCGTAAAGCTTACTTTTAGCTATCCTGGCCAACATTCAAAACAACTCGGGATCTGTTGCTTACCAATTTTCATTTTTCTTCCTAAATTTCTCATCGCTTTCTTGTTGACCCCAGCCTGACCCCAGCCTGACCCCAGTGTTCCCACGTTATTAGATTTTTTTTACACCGATAAAATAAGTTTGGACTCAGAGTTTCATCTGATTCATTGATGTTTAGGTTCAAGCAGAGAAGCAGGGGAAGAAGTTGAAGTGAGGTTAGGTTCTCCAGGAGAGGAGGCCTCACCTGGAAATGCCAAAGAAACCGAAGAAGGGGCGCCATCTGCTGCGGAGGAAGTATCAACAATTGGACAACTGGTAATATACTCTGTTTTTAACCTGTTTTTTCTTTTTTAAGATCTAGGTAAAACTTCCAAATATTAATTTTTTTTTCTGTTTTTTTTTTCTTTATCATCTCACAGGAGAAGCAGCGTTCTACTGAGCTACTGAGTTCGTGTTCTGACCTCCACCAGGAGCTGAAGGAGTCGTGTTCTGACCTCCACCAGGAGCTGAAGATCACCGAGCCTGACATCCAGCTGCTCCACGACACCTTCAGACCTCTGTTTGGCTCCAGGAGTGAGTTCGAAGTCACAAAGTTGACCATGGACGTGAAGTCGAAGCGGAGCCGCAGCTCCCCCTCTCTGACGCTCCTGTGTCGGGAGCAATCTTCAAACACCTCCACGAGGGATGGCTTGTTCACCACTGGAGTCAAATCTGCCTCCAAACAGCCGTCGGAGTCCGACATCTTGTTTTCCCTCCACAAAAACTTTGGCAAAAACTCGGAACATTCTGGTCCGGCTGATGCGACGGGAGAGAAGGAGGAGCGGCGAGAACCCGTGACCTCGGACAGAGACGAACCGGGTTTGTTCCAAACGAGTCCACGATGTTCTCAGAGGACGGGTTCAGATCCGGTCGCCTCAGGACCAGAGTCGGGCGATCAGAACCAGGACCAAAGACTCTTCTGCGATGGAGCCAAGAAAGCTGCTGCTCCTGAGTCGGAGTCGGTCCAGAGGCTGTCGGTGTGTCTGGAGGAGAGACGTGACGCTCTGGAGCTGCTGCACCTCGACGACGATGACGGAGGTGGAGGGAACTCCGAGGAGCTGGACCTGGTGGAGCCCTGGGAGGATCTGAGCTCCACCAAGCAGTGGGTGACCAGTCCTCTCCATTCCCCGGACGTGGAGGAGTTGTTCAGGCAGCTGTCCCCGTTCAGCTGCGGCTCCGAGGACACGACGACCTCGCCTCCTCCGACAGGAAACGACAAACACCCAGCAGAGTGTCCCCCGGAGAGCGTCCCTCAGACGTCCAGCTCCAAACCGGATGCTAAATGGAGATATTTGTCCTCGGCGCCGTCTCGGGTCCACGCTAACGCAACGCAGCCTCACACAGGGAAATGCAGCGGAACCAAACAGAAGAACCCGGCGCCGTCTCATCGGTTCCACAGACAGACGTCTCACGAAGGTTCTGCTCCGGAGAAAAGGGAGGAGAACAGTTTTCCCAAACACCGGCCGTGTTCCCTGAACCTGGACCTGGGCTACAGGTGCATCAGAGACATTTCCAACCAGCAGAACCGCCACCTGTCGGAGTTCTCCCTGAGCCACCGAGGACTGACCACGTCCTCCGGCTCCGTCAACAATGCTCCGCCCTCGGACCTGGAGATGTTCTTGAACGATCGGCAGG